AATACGCCTATATTCATTTTTAACTGCTTAATTCGTTTCGTGTGCCAATTATTTGACTCATTATAATATATATATATATATATATATATATATATATATATATATAACATGAATTAAAATATAAAACTTATTTGGAATTCTTGGTATCAAAAATATACTTTTACTGTACTATTTTTTAAAAAAATTGCTAATATATTTTAAGAGATATAGTTAGTCAAACATTAAGCTTGAAAACTGAATTGGAAAGTTAAATAGGAATGAATCGAATACTTAACAAAGTAAACGAACTAAATTTTTAAATGAAACAAATATCTTATGTTGGATAAAAAAACCGAATACGAGTCTCTAAAAATATTCTAACTGCATACAAATCTTTATAAATATTCAAATTGAATATGAATATCATCCAAAACTAGGAAATACGATTAATACAAAGTATTCATGAATATTGGATTTGATTTAATTCATTTACAACCATATGCCCAAGCCCACCCACTATCACCTTTTTATGTGGCAAAATCATCTCAACCTAGCTAGCCTTCTCATAATTTATCTTCAACATGCATGTGTCACTCTCACTAATCTCTTTATAATCTTATTTTCTTCAACATGCATGTGTCACTCTCACTAATCTCTTTATAATCTTATTTTGAATATAATCATATCCAACTCTATTCCATATATAAAGCATATCCGCTTTTTTAACCTAGCTAGCTTTGCTTTCATAAACAATGTTGTGGTTTAGTTTCTTATTTTTCGTGTCATAAATTGTCAAAAAACACCATACACATGTTGAATTCCTAGAGTTTAAAGTCTGGTTTTAAAATATAATGGATGTGTGTGTGTGTGTATATATATATTCTGGTGAGAATGCGATCTTATGAAAGAAATAAGAATAAATTTAGTGCTTTAGATTGTGAGATCTAAGGGTCAAGATTGCAACAAAATTAGGAGCACCAAAATGGTTTGAAAATGTGTCATGTCGAAATGCACCAAAATCTTTTGAAAAAATGCACTATCTCAAAATCTGAGCGCTGGATGCTATCTGGGCCGCACGATGCATCAGATCTAAAGACTAGATTTTATTCTTACTTCTTTCACCAAGGTGCATTCTCACGTGAACCGGCCCCTATATATATACATACATACATGTTGGTTCTCGCGAGAATGCGATCTTAGGAGAGAAATGAGAATGAATATGGTGTTTTAGATTGTGAGATCTAAAGGTCAGGATTGCATCAAAAGTGACTTTCTAATAATAATGAAAAAGGTTTTTTGGGATGGATGAAAAAAGAAAGGAGAAAAGTTTTGTGGGACAGAAAGAGTAATTTTTTTTTCAAAAATAAAAGAACACGAACTTTACTAAGATGTTCAAAAACGAAAATGATGAAATTTAGGATGGGTAGTGATAATTGAATTGGACAATAAGACACTTGGGTTGAACCACATTAAAAGATTGAATCCAATCGATTAGTTAGTTTAACTCAAGAGCTTATATACTGATTATTTTTACTCTTGAACTTCTGATGTGGGATGAAACTTTAACACTCCCCCTCAAGTAGTGGACAACCGGGTCATTTTGAATCTAACCGGTTTACCACTTGCAAATGGACTCTCTTCCCCTTGTTTTTTTGAGCGCCAACACCTAAATAACCACGAGCCGCTGGGTATGGACTTTCAGACGAGCAATCGTGTTAAATAGGCCACATGTCGTTGGGTACAACCTCCATACATACAACTGAGCTAAAGAGTAAAGACTAACGGGCCGCTAGGAGTGAACGTCTAGACGGCCACCTTGACAAATGAGGTGGGCTAAAACTGGCTCCGATACCATGATAGAATTTAGGATTTGATAGAGATAACTGGATTGGGCAATAAGACACTTGAGCTGAACCACATTAAAAGATTGAATCCAATCGATTAGTTAGTTTAACTCAAGAGCGTATATACTGATTTTTTTACTCTTGAACTTCCGATGTGGGATGACACTCTAACAGAAAATGAGGTATTTTTTTGTTTTTATATATTAAAAAGAATAATCTTGTCTTAGGACATCCAAAATTAAATGAAAATTGGGGTTCATTATTTCTCCAGAATTTTTTTCATCAGTGCACTCCATGACTACGTTTTCCCTTTTCTATACAAGTATATTTTTCTTTTGTCTTTTTATTTATTTCTTTTTTCATTTCATTTTTCTCTTAATTATTTCTTAACTTTAAAATAAAATTATCAAACTTTGACAATTAATGGAAACTAGAGGATAGCAAACCAAATGAAAGAAATCCAAGCAAATCAACCATCAAAACGTACCTAAAAATTCTCCCACCTTACACATCCAACCAACATTCTTACAATGGATGAAGAAACAAATCAAACCACAATCTTATTTTCCTATCAAACCCTCCCCTAGAGAGAGCAAGGAGGGAGAGAACTTCAAACATGACGACCACCACCACCACAACGGCTACCGTGGTCATATCCGTTCTCTCCCTCCTGTTCCACATCTCGGCGGGGGAGACATACGTGTACGACAACGGCCTGAAGGCGACCCTCTTCCCGAACATCGAGATCACGCTGGCCAACGACTACCACCGGCCGATATACTTCATGTGCAAGAACACGGACAAGGACAAGAAGCTCCACCCGCTCGGCGTGGGCGAGACGTACCGCTTCAACTTCACGCAGGTGGCGTTCCCGATGCGGTGGTGCTTCCTGTACATAAACTCCCACACCCACGGGTTCTTGTGGGTGTACAACATGCGGTCCAGGTGCACCAAGTGTTTCTGGAGCATCACTAATTTCCCCAACCTCTACCGGACGGACCGTGTCCGGTGGGAGCGCCAGAAGTTGTTTCTTCCCCTTGGGTTTGACATTACGCAATTCTTGGTTAGAGAGTCATCGCTTTGGCCATGAATGAACTATATGTATACATTCATGCATGCATGCACCCCATTAAACACGTATAACTCCCACCTAAAATGTCTAAAATATACCCTATTATGTACTTCCTCCGTTCTATATTCCCGTTTCATTTTTTGCGCATCCAATAAAATACTTCTACCCACATCTAAACTACCTAAAATTTACCACATTTTTCCTTTATTATAGGTAGAAATTGTTTTGAAAGTTTTTTTTGGCATTTTATGTTGGATAAAAGTGTTTTATGGGATATGATGCGCAAAAAATGAAACAAAAACATCTTTAAGGGACAGCGGGAGTAGTTTATTGCGGGTAGATGTTATTTAGGGGTATTCTCGACATTTTAGGTGGGATAGAAGTATTTTATGGGGTATGCAAAAAATTAAGGCGGAAATATATAGGGAAACAGATGGAGTAGTTTATTGCTCCCCCCTTTTGATTTTTGAAATCTCTTTTTTGAAGCAATTTTTTTCTCTTAAAGTAGCATACATGTAAACTTTTGTTATTTGGCTTTTTACAATCTTCAATACAAACTTTAAACATTAATATTGTAAAAATGTAATATTTCAAAATTACATTGCCAAATGAATCTATTAATATTAAATTTATTAAAATTTAACTATCATTTTTGTTATTTGACTTCACTCCTTGCAATTTCTGGGTTCGCCACTGGCTTGACAATGGCTTGACAATCAGATAATAATGTTGCCTTCAAATAATTTTTTTTTCATGCCTAGACTTAGGACTTACTAGAGAACTTTGTGGTCATATATATATAGTACAAATATGAAAAAATTCTTTTTCTCAATGTTGCATATATCATGTATTGAATTTACGTGTGCAAAATGATTACAAGCATTAGGAACGATAATGACAAATATTAAAAGTAGTATACGTTTTATATAGGATATGATAGTAGATTAAAGTCATATTCTCTTCAACTTATTCTTACTTTTTTTTTATTGAAATCAAATCACATCAGATCAGAAATAGTTTTAAATATAACTTCATTCAGATCAGATCAAAACTTATTTCAATCATATTAGAATCATTCAGATAAAGTGAAGAGAACATGGTCTAGAAGTATATAATAAGTGATTAACCATGCATCTAATTTCTATCAATTTTATATTGAAATAAATTATTTAATACTCCGTACTTGTTAGGATCAAATCCACTCACACACACCAAATCACATGATGAAGTAATTCCAAGAGAGATTGGAACGTAAAGCTAGAGAGAGATGCGTGAATTTTCTTGGTAATACCCTGTGAGTAAACTTCCATGAGAATGTGATATATATGTTAATGATTCAGAGTATGTATAATTATAGAGAAGAAGAAATTACTTAAATAGCACTAAAACATAATGACTTTCTCTAAATAGCACCACATGTGTTTTTCTTCCCAATGTAGTATTTTTAGTCATTATGCATTGGTCATTGTTCAAGTAAAAATCAACCATCACTGGACATTACGGACATTATTAAGTGTTATTTAGGGAATAAAACATTTTAAGTACTATTTAGAGAAATGACTTAAATTTTAATGCTATTTAGTACAAATAATTCTTATAGAGAATAGCTGAAGAATAAATAGTATAACTTAAAATTTTGGTCGGAGCGCTAGCAAGAGTTGCCCTCTCTCTGAACGGAGGCTCCCGCCCCCATGCCCCCAACAACCTCACCTGGTGAGGTTGAACCGCTTGAAGATTAATATATGATAGTACATCTAATATTAATCAGACTCCACAGCCTAATACTTCAATAAATATGTTTTACTCGGTAATGTCCAAAAATACTTATAAATTTCAAAATTATCAATTTGTATTCTAAGTCTTATTTCTGGTTGGAAGAATTCATGTCAATACTTCTATAAATAGGAAATTTTATATGAATACTCCAAAATCGCACAATTATCACTAGTGTTTACAAAAATTCAAAATTTACAATAATTTTCTAAGATTGCATATTGATCACAAATACCGCTAAAAAATAATAGAATTCATGTAGAATATACTACACACTCCACATAGTATAAAATGTTCCAAGGCCAAAATGGTGGGAAAAATAAAAAGAATGCAAAAACCTTACAGAATGGACCTTACAAAAATTGTAGTGGCTCAACAAAAATTGGGAGTAAATATTGCCTGCACATTTTAGCAGTTCACACCAACATGTTTCATAATTTTTTCCTCACAATCCCTAGAATTAACCTCCTAATCTTCTAGGCATGATTACAAAAAAGTCACAAAATTACAATAGATTACTACACAAAAACATATACAATGTATAGGGTCTTGTTGAACTCGATAGTGCCCGTCTCTGGCCCACCCTCCACATTCTCACCGGTGGCAGAAGGCTTGGATTCCTGCAAACTTTCTCCGTTCTTAAATAATTGTCTAGTATGATTCTGTCTACATACATTAAGAACGGAATGAATGTGGACACAATGCCCGTCCACGTTCATTCAATACTCATTCAATGAACGAATGTTGGCATAAATTATGCTCGTATTCGTTCAATATATCAAAAGAGACAATTAGATAGCTAAAGGAGAGAACAAAGGAAATACTTTTCCACGGTTCATTGGCATTTGGCTACATGTTTGCAGAGAAACTGCGGGTGGAGATCTTTCTTGCTGATGAAGGGTCTATTTTTTCTGGAAGGTGATCAAACAAAAGAAGGCAATGCCACGGCTGACAATTCCGGTGACAATGAGGTATACCAAACAAGGATACCAGTCTTCAAGACCATAACCTCTTTGTTTCAAGGAGCCACATCTTGTGATCAGCCATACTCCGTAGTACCTGCAGATTTCCATTTCTAAATGAGGAAAAGGTGTAATAAGCCACAACCTTGCAAGTCATCAGGGCACAATGGCATTTTGACTAGCTAGAATTCCATTGACATTCTATTTAGCCTTTGGCACAGTCTAAGTTCCTTTTTGCTTTGCTAGGACTTTTTTAAATTTTTTCGCTTATCAGTCATATTTTCTACCAAACACATTTCTTTTATTGTACTGGCTATAAAATAGAGAGAGAGAGAGAGAGAGAGATGTACATTTTTTGGTGAAGCTAAATTGCTCAAACCAGAGGAAATGACACATTTCACAGTTCTTTTCTACATTAATTTAAAACATAATTATTTTTACGGATGACTTGACACGCTTGAATCACAATTCCAGCAACTTATGTTATTTCAACCCGATATTGTATTAACGTAATCAAACAGGCTCTAAGAAGCCGATTAGCTGATACTTACTGTGGTTTATGGTTTTCTTCATCATGCTAAATTGTAAATATTTCTAACGAGTTGAACCATAGGCTAGCGTCATAATGCCTAGTTTGAATTACTACTTGTAACTTGTTGGAAAACTTCAGTCCTCCTAGAGCGCTAAAAGTGTAATTCGCAAGGACAGTGGAAGGTGCTTGAAATGGCCAGGCAAATTACACACATAGCAAACAGTAGAAGCTTTTTTTCCTCCCAGTATGTGGTAGTCTCTTTTGGGGAGCTTTTGTGAAAAAGTGCATTTGGCCTAAAGGACGCCCAAAAGAAGTGTTTAATAAAAGACTACTTTAGAAGTTTTTCGGTCCCAAAAAGCTGGTTTACAAAAAAATGTTTTCCAAAAAAATTGGAGCAATTGTTTATAGCTTTTTGGAGTAGTTTTCAAGTTTGGTTTGAAAAAAATAAAAACTTGTTTTCAAGATTTTGGGAACAACTACCAAAGAACTAACTTTTTAAAACTAGTCGCCAAGTGTCTAACCTTTTGGCATTTGCTATCAAAAATGATTCCAAAGCCCACTTGGTATAACAAAAATCCCCCAGTCTCATCACAAATGGATCACCTTCTTGGTTCGCTACAAGAGTCAACACAACTGGAACAAGAACAGACCACTGCACCGCACACACAAAAAAAGAATAACAAAAGATCAGATTCTGGATGATAATAAATTACTCCGTATAATATAAGGCTGGAATCTATATAAGCTCATTCATATAACTAAAAATAAAATAATTAAACTGGTACGTAAAGTGGCGTTTTGGCTTTTGATGTAAACAGAAGTGCTTACCAGTTGGGCTTGACCGGGAGTGAGGTAGATGGCAAGTGCATAAGCTATTCCAGTGACACAATAAATGAGACAGATAAGAACAATATAGTTATCCAGAATTGTAGATCTTGGGTTGTTGAAGAAATAGAACATAGACAGATAAACTGCTGGCTTTACAATTGTATTGAAATGGTCAATTGTATCCTTTGCTAGAAAATATGCCAAGCTGCTCATACCAGACCCACTCTCTCTCCAGTAGTATACTTTATCCTGAGAAAAGGATCTTAATGCTGCAATCTTGCTGAGTAAAGCTAAAAACAGAAACAAGAATTTCAGTAAGTGAGAATGGATCCATAAAAAAAAATAAGGACAAATTTGTCAAAGTGCAAAGGAACTTGAGGGCATGGCGCTTACAGACAGCAATGACGGTGTAAAGATATCCCAAGGATCCAAACGTTTCATCACTCACTTTAGCAAGTGTTCCTAAGCATATTCCAGCAAGTAAGAGAATGAGATAATCTACTGCTTGTATTCTAGCATCTCGCAATCTCTGCTTACCGATCCTGGAGAAATTGTAATGCTGTTGTGTTATACTCCGTAAAAAGAAACGATGAAAATGGCCATATCAAAACTAGATAATTCAAAAATGGGGTTCACAGGGGATATGAATGTTATCTGGTTCCTCCTTTCTGCAAATCAATTTTATAGCCCATCTGTCCCTATATTATGCGCCTTTTGAATTTGCACGCGTTTAAGAAAATAAAATTCTGAGGTCGAGATTCATTTAGAAATGAATGAATCAATAAGTAAGAGACAGAAAAAGGGATAGAGAGACTATTACATTGTGAAGGCATTCTGTTTTAATTTAGCATAAGTTATGAAGTTTATCAGAGATCATTTGCTATACAAGGACAAAGTATGATTCTTGAGAAGTAGAATGGAAGGAATAAATTGGAAATGTGGTTAAATATGTTTTTAGTCCCTATAAAATGGGTGATTTTTGTTTTTGCTCTCTGTAAAATATTTTTTTGTTAGTCATCCTTACAAAAAATTATTTAAAAAATGGTCCTTAAATATAATTTAGACATGTAATTTGTTGAGATAACACATTTATTTCATAATCAACATCTTAATCATGCATTTCTAATTGCCTCAGACACAATTCTCATGCCATAAATTGTCTTTTTCATCAAATTACATTCCCAATTTCCAAATTTCATTATACTATATACTTAAAAAATTTGGAAATTGTAGATGTAATATGAATAAAGATACAATTTAGGGCATGAGAATTATATCGGAGGTAGTAGAAATACAAGACCATGATGTTTAGTATTAGATAAATGTGTCATCTCAACAAATTAGAAGTATAGATTATGTTCCATGACCATTTTAAAAATAAAAAATTTTGTAAGGATGACTTGTCAAAAAAATATTTTTACAGGGACCAAAAATCAAAGTCGTCTATTTTACACGGGCCAAAAACATATTTAACCCTTGAAAAAATTCACTGAAGTATTGAAGGATGCTAAAGCAAGCCTAGTTGCAACACAAACGACATTAGACGACCGGTGTGGGATCCGCAACACACTCCACTCAATCCAAATCTGTATGGAAATGGAAGTGGTGGACAAATGGGGCAAATCCGACCCCAAATCACCACCGGACTAGTCTCTCATATCAAGAGATGACGTTTATATTTGTTGGGTATACCTCCAAATGGAGGAGTCACTCACAAATCCTTACCAATTAAGAAACAAAACAAAACAAAATTAAATCACTGTCAAATATGGCGGCTACATGGGATAAAGATGCAAGTTGTCTTGAAGAATTGAGAGTGGCGGTGAACTTAGGCGGCTAAGATGAGGCGGAAACATCTTATGCTATAAAGGGGATGTGGTCTTCTTAATCAAGATATGCTCTCCATTTTGATTATTCTCCATGTGAAAACTTAGTGTTACTCTCAATATTATGGTGAGAGCTCATAAGAGTTTATTGGAGTGTGTTTGTATTTGAGAGCCCTTCTGTGAGAAAATATCCTTTCACGAGTTACAAGAATGTTGTCATGTGTTTGTTTTATCAGTGAAACATTTGGGATAAGGGTTTTGAGTTTCTACACCAAATTTGTACTTTGTAATTTGTATGCTCCATCTGGTCAATGTAAAAATTTTCCCTTCTACATCTCTTGTTTGTGTTTCTTTGAGCACGCATATCCTGTGGGTACGGTCTTTCGGGTCCAACAAGTGGTATCGGGGCCAATAAAATTAACATATTTCAACACAGATTATATGGCAGGAGCATTACAATGTGATGGAAATAAGGCATTACCTTCCAAGAAAAAATTTATACTGCAGAAATAAACCCGGTGTAACCCGATTAGACAAGTCCTTGGAGCTCAAGAAATTGTGCTGCATTTGGTCCTTCTTCTGTTCAACGTTGGATTTCACATCCTGCCACAGATCTCCGGCAAAAGTCCCATCAGACCCAGCAGCAGCTTCAGGGTTTCCCCCATGAGCTGAATTCTCTCCAACCGAAGCTGCCAATCCGGCAGAGTCCAGCATCTCCGGTGGTACGGGATAACCATTGTGAAGCATCCATCTGAGAGGAAGCTCTTTGTAGTTCACCCCTATGCTCGGACTTAGCTTCACAATACCCTCTAAGATGTCTATGAAGTAATCCGGAGGATTGACGCGCTCAGGAACATGGATGCCAAGGCCTGCAAAGTATTCCTCAACTTTCTTCACTGGTCCATGATATACGGTTAGACCACCCTTTGCTAGAAGTATGAAATCATCAAACATCCTGAACAATGTGTAGCTGAAACGGGATTTTTATCCGGGCCATTAGTACAAATTCGACTAGGACTAAAAATATAGAAATGTAAGTCATAGTGGTGAGAAAAGGGAAGTTAAAACCAGTTTTAAACATTTTAAACTTTGTTTAGCATGATTTTGGGAGGAAAGAAAGCAGGGGAGAAATATGTGTAGGGGTAGGGGACATTATTATTTTTATTTGGATAGAGAGAAAAAGGATGAAATATAGACAACATGACCCTCAATTGAGCTGATTAAATCCTCTATTTAAAAATTAGTTATTTGAACCAGTGAAAAGAAATGATTAGCAAAAAACACTAAGGCTTGCTGTTTGACTCCTTGGTGAATCAGACTATACTTTTTTATGTGTAAAATCTTTTTTGCTTCTATGTGCTTGATTTAGATATCTCCATCATCTCCGATGGAGACAAAATTTCACCATTTTTAGCTTTGGGGTGTGATGGAATAAATCAAAATGGATCTCTAAACTGTCTGCGCTTCTTTAATTAATGAAGTAACAGTTAGTCAAGCAATGCAACTTTCGACGTTGAGCCGGGGGTCTCTTTGGAAACAGCCTCTCTACTTTCAAGTAGGGGCAAGGTCTGTGTACACACACCCTCCCCAGACCCTACTCTTGTGGGATTTAATTGGGTTGTTGTTGTTGTGCTTGATTTAGATCCAAATAAATCATACTAACAATACATTTCTCAATACTCTGAACTGTTTCCTTATGTCCTTTGCAAAACAACAGTGCTTCTATCATCAACAAAAAGGGGAACAACAAATATAAATTTAAAATCAGATGCATCAATCCACCTTCTCATTGTCAGTGTGGCTATTTGCCTAGCAGTAGTGTAGATATTGGTAAAAACAGCTCCATATTCATATTGTCATATTGCTGATTTTATAATCATACAAGGTCTATTTTATTAATTTTAAAATGACAATGTTTCTTTGTCTAGGTATCTACAACACAGGTTTTTCCTGTTATTGAATCAAGAGAAAACTTCTATAGCGTTTCACATCTTTCCTACTCCATTTCCTTCTATATCCAAACAAAGCATAAAAGGAGATTATTTGGGGGGGGNGCGGAGTGCTCTAAGTAACAACTGAGAAGAAGAGCTGTCCAAACCAGTAGTTGGTTCATCTAAAATCAATAAAGATGGCTCCATAACCATTTCCAGCCCCACATTCACTCGCTTCCTCTGACCCCCAGATATGCCTCGCTTCTCAACCGTTCCTACAATGGAATCTCTTACGTGTTGCAATCCAAGTGCTTCTATCACTCTCTCAACAACTAAAACCTTTTCTGGCTTTGGAAGATCTGCTGGCAATCTATAACAAAGAACTTTAGACAACTAGTTAAAAGGAATTGAGAACAATGCTCATTGTTATAAGCACCTTAATCTACAAGCTTGTTGTTGTTACTACAGAAACAACCCAGAAAACTAGTTGCTACATGTCAAGGAACCAACTCAACAAAAAACTCAAGCTTGTGGTTGTAGGCCCGGGATAATCTACCACCTAGTTATATTGTGGTTTTTATACTCTAACAAGCCCCTTCACGTGCGGCGAGATTTGTTTTTGTTCGAGCATTGCACGTGAAAATTAATTTTTTAAAACTGGGTGGTGGTGAAGTTCAAACTCGTGAACTCTTGGTCAACAAGACTATGATATCATGTCAACGAATCAGCTCAACCAAAAGCTCAAACTTGTGCTTGTAGGCCCATGAAAGGTTTTGATACTCTAACATTACTAACCATAAAAAATGAATTAGTACTCTAAAGCCACGCAAAGAATAAAGAAACACAGCGGCAATGCTTTATGCGGGATGCTCTTCCAATGGAGAAATAACCGTTATTGACAATCTTTTACTTTGAATAAATAATGCACTGAATCAAAACGGGACATTGAACTTCATTTGCTTCTTACTTTCTATGATGTTTTCGAACTTCATTTGTTTACACATGCGTATTGGGTACAATTGCGTACATTTTGACCCTGACCTCTTTGAGGTTGGAATTATATTGGGGTGTTGTTTTTCAAGACAAAACCTTAATAAGGAATAATGATATGAAAATTCTAAAAAAAACAAGTAGTCGTCATCATAATTTACACAAAACCAACACATGAAGTGTAGAGCATTAAGGGAAATCAAAAAGCAACAATGTTTTATTTTATAGCAGATGACATATATTTACCTGCACCTTGCACTAAACCAGAGATTTTCTTCCACTGTTAAGTTACCATGCACTATATCATCTTGAGGGACAAAGCCAATAATTTTTTTGTACGACTGCATACTCTCAGCTTTTCCATTTATAAGAATCAAACCACTCATGGTGCAGCCTGTAGCCTTTCCCGTCAAAGCAGATAAAAACGTCGTCTTTCCAGCCCCAGAAGGCCCCATGACGGCAGAAACACGACCAGGCGACAACTTACCCGATACACACCTCAACAGATGCTTCTTTTTCCCCTTCAGGGTGAGGGTGAGATCTTTAAAAACAACCTCAATGGGAGGCCTTCCCACGGTCTCAAACTCACTGGCCATTGAAATGACGCCCGAAAACGTCATGTTCTTGTTCTGCTCTTGAAGTGCCTTCTCTTTCTCAATCTCCCCATATGCATATCTGAAGATTTGGCTGCGAGTGTGCAGCTGCTTAGCCTTATGTTTCTTCAGATTCTTGTCCCCAATCTGCACATTAAACCCATCGTGCCCGTCAGGGTTCTCCTCAAGCTCGCGCATCATTTTTGTGAGATTGCTTTGCTTCTTTGCTTTCGCCTGAGACATGCCGGAGGGCATCGGGGGCAAAGACGCAGAATCTGTTACATAATATATTAGGACATATCGTATACAGAGTACCAATATACTTTCTAAATATGGTATACTAAAAACTTCACATGATTATGATTCTACCGTATATTAAAAAACAATATTAATATGAGTATGCTATTTTTATGTAAATTTACGTAATTGAACCAAACTTGACTGAACTCAACTGAACAGAATATCAGTTATAATTTTAATTAAAAAGTGTTACCCTGAAATTAACTAAAATAAATTAAACTGAACCGAAAATAAGTATTAAGAAAACATACTCTAGACAATATTTCCTATTATATAATCTAACAGAATCACCTCCAGCTTTAGGTTCTGTCAGTGTGGACTTTTTGCGGGAAAAAGTGCGGGATAGTGAAGACTGAAGTCCAGTTGCATGCTTTTTGGCAACGTCCTTTGCAGATTTCCATTTCTCACGTGCTTGTGCTGTTTCACGCGCACTTTTTGCTGCCGCTTCCCTGGACTTTGCTTGTTTTTTCTCTCGAGTGCTCAGAACTTGGTCTGACCAATTATAAATGATGAGGAGTACGAGTATGATTCCAGCCTAATCAGAGGATAAATACAATGGCTACACATAAATGGATTGTTTGTAACATTATAATGGTGCAATAAGTCGACAAATAATTCATCACAATTGATCAACTTGATATCATATTGATTTGAGTTGATTTCTACTTGATTCAGCTGATTGTGCTTGATTTATACTGCGTATAAGTAATTGTTTGGAAAAAAATGACCTCTCCCTATTTGAGATCTCGTAGACGCTTTTGTACTCCGTCTCACAAACTTGTAACAAAAATACAAAATGTGAAGAAAATAACTTGTAATCCCTTTTCCCCAGTCAACTAAATATAATCTAACAACATTTACCCGAGAAGTTTATTCCGGGTCAATGTTACTCTACACACTGGACAATGTGTGAAACTTTTCTTGTTTACTATTTCAGATTTTCGATGACTTTTGGTTGTGTGTGCTTTTTCATTAGTCATTTGATAAAATAAAATAGTCATGTCACCACTTGTTTTGTAGAACTTTTAATATAGTTTTCAAATCTGTAAGTTGTACTTATTTCTATACCAACTAGTGTATAAATGAGATTTTACGCAGGAAATTTTTTTTGGGACGGATCGAGTACAATCTAACAACATTTACCCAAGAGTAATGTGACTCATAAAATATTTTTGAACGACAGCAAACTTAAATGTAGTGAGGGTTATGAGGATGCTGAGGAAAATCTCTCAAAATCTTAACTGTCGGAAGTAACATTGGTACATGTGGACAACGTGTGAAACAAATAAGAAACTCCATCAAACAGAAGATGATCAAATGAACAAATTAAAGAACAATGAAGGAATAAATGTTCTCAAAAAAGTAAAGGAACGACTTACAAAAAAGAGGAGACCATATGCTGTGATGTTTTGATTTGCAGTTTGAGGTTCACAAGTAGCCAATTCATAACAGTCTGCAAGATTGCATTTCAAGTAAGAAGGACCACCCTGTCTTTGACTGTTTCTTTTCTTTCGATAAGTTAATCACTTTAATTTTTCACCATAAGAACACAAGAGAAAGACTTACTGGTTTGCTCTGTTGAGCCAGCCCTGCAGTAATGGCTGCAAAAGGGAAGAAATCATAACCAGAATAAGGTGGCTAAGTGCCCATATATATCATCTTGAAATTAAGAGAATAAGTTAACGCAATCAATATGTATATACCCACGACTGCAAGGATTTTTCTTGGTAGTGCTAGGACAGTAAAATCCAGCTGAACAAAATAGATCAGAGGAACTGACAAAATCAACCCACACATCTGCTCCACCGCATGTATGATTTGTCTCTCCAGTAGGCAGTTGATAACTGTACCTGAAAGCATCAACCAGACCATATAAATCTAACCAAAATGTGGAAGTGAAATTTCTTTCTTCTGCAAGACTCTAAAGCGTAAAACTATAGGTGCATTCGCTTTGGACTCAGAAATGAAGTATAGATGATATGGGTTAGGTATTATGCATGATTTGGTGTTTGATTTGTGTTTTGAGAAATCAAATTAGGGTTGTTCAACTATTCATTCACCGTCAATCCTCCTCCGGCATCAGCTTGCCTCCGATCTTCTTCTGCAATAGGATACCTGCAAATCTTCTTCGTCCAATCATCAGCCCTCTTGCTAAAGAGGCACTCGGTATGGTTCATCTAAAATGACTGTAAAGATGCGCTTTTCAAAATTCTGACTCACGTAGAACTATGGATGATCTTCATATCGATTCACTCGTATCATATTCTTCCCCATAGAATTTAAAATATTTTCCCGCCACAATTCACCTCCATTTTTTGGTAAATTTGCACAAAAATGTGTGTTAGTGCTTGATTTCATTTGTCATAAATGTCATCTCTTCTTAGCTAGTTTTGAATCGTGGCTGACCTAAGGAATAATAGTTTGGTGAAACCATCCGTGACCGGGATCGAATGTTATGGCTTGATTTCATTTGTCTCCCACCGGTCAAATGGAAAACTTAAGTGATGAGTTTATATAACTTGAAATTTTCTCACCTTAATAGCTAGTTTTTGGGTTGACTTTCCATTGTGTTTTATCAAGGTGATGAGTTGCTTTTAAGATCGAATGAGAATCACTCTAAAATCTAGAAAAAAATCATGAGCACGCTGTCACAACTTTAGAAGCAAGTTCTTGTAAAGAGATTCATGGTGACTAAAATGACACTGAGATAGACATAAACTTATATAGGGAAGGCAAGTGGTGAGAAGCTTGAAACGTCAAATTTTTCATACTTTAAAAGGATTTGGTTGTACGAATGCCCCAGGTACCTGACTTAATTGAAGAATTCATTCGACCTTACTTGAACATGATTCGTTCTATAAGTTGTAGTGTTGTACCTCCAAATCCCTTAATCTAAGCAGGATGTATGTTATTATCGAGATAAATATTTAAAAAAAGCCCGAGAAATCACTCGATGGCGCTCAAATAGGTGAGGTACTCGGAGGATGCAATGATCACTGGATTCATGATAGAAATTTTCAAATTTAAATAATCAAATAGAGAATATGACACTGCTTTTTTTAGTCCAAGAGACCTAACTATAAACACAAACAAGTTCTCGGTAGTGGGACTTCATATAATCCAAATGAACAAATTGCTAAAGAATAAATAGCTTTTATTTTAAAAAGAAATAAAAATAAAAAATTGCATGAAAAGGTTCATATAAATTTTGTCAACCTTATGTCAATGATGGGCTTTCTCACTCTACACACTCTCGGCGTATGAAGATCTGGTTTGATTTGATTGTAATTATATTTAAAATTGTTTCTGATGTGATCTGATTTTAATCAGAATAAGTATTAAGCTGGAATATAATTTGAATGGAACACAACATTAACGCCCTAATCAACCTTATTGTCACTCTCTAAATTGTATTGCCATCTCAGTGACCGTCCGGCCGGGTCTGAGGGGGCGCTCGGGGATGAGGTTCATCCTTTTTTTTCTAAATTGTATTGCCACTTTATATTTACAAAAGCTACTCTTAATAAAAATTACAGTTGAATATGTCAATAAGAAAGTAGGAAATGGTAATATTATCCCCTTTATTTGGTAAGGTTATATTTACCAAAAAATATAATGTGAAGAGTAAACTAGTAAGCCAACATTTCAAATAAAAGTATAATACTGATTAATGGTTTCTAGGAACGAAGGGACTTACGGATCACATACACCTGTAGTTTTGTTGAGAGTTGCAACAGGGCAATAAGAGCCCAACGGACAGGCTTCAGCAAGAAAAAAAATCATATCAGTCAAACAAGACATGCAAACGAATATCAATCATTGAGGGTGACTTGATAAGTGTTGCCTCTTTCAGCTATTGTTAGTGATTAGACCCTTTGCATGGGTACCACTCTATTGTGATCTCTAAAAAATATATTAATCGTATAGTAATTGCTTCTCGATTTATTGTGTCTAGTCTTACTAGACACGTTTGTTCGTAAAATATAAAGTCTGAAGTTAAAATGTAAACTCTAGTGTAGTAATAACAAACAATGATTTTTATCGTCAATTAAAACACTCAAATCAAAATCTTAAATTGGTAATTAGAGGCACAGAAAATGTTTTTTTTACTCACGTATCATACAAGTGAGGCCATGAGGACAAAAGAATCCTTCGCAACAAGGCTGACATTCGAGGGTTCTGTCGGGCATTTCTTTCGGTGTTTTAAGGTCAACCTGCACATCTTTTCCAACACTGCAAGCCCACCCTGGCTCACACCCAGAAGCCCATGATGTCAAATTACAATTCTTGTTTGGTTTCACATAGTTGCTGCTACTTGACCCCATGTTCTCGAGAGTGCCTAAAACTATGCTCGATGCATAAAATTTTATTTCTGAAGCTGTACACAAACGCTGCATTATATCCCCTGTTGATCCATCAAAACAAGTCAAGATGAAACATTTGAAAGTATAAAAAATCATATTGTGTTTGGTTGGCCAAAATAATGATTTTCTTGAAAAAAATATGGACAATTATATTTGAGTGAAAACCAATTTCTTTTCAATGGAGTAAAATTATTTTGGTTTTGAGGAGAGATGAAATGGTTTTTTCATCCCCACTCTTCGACATTATAGGTCAATCACAAAAATTTTGGTTTTTTACTAAATGACGAAAAAAGTGATTAGTCTATCTGTCACATGAAATGACGTGACATGCATTGTTATGTTTGATCAAATTTAATCTACATTCAATTTATTTAATAAATGATATAAATTAAAAAATATAAATTATATAATTAAAATTGCATAAAAAAGACCTATAAAATAAAGACAACTTGGCCACATTATTTTAAAAAATAACAATGAAAATACACAAGAATATAAGATATCAAATGACTCTATAAATATGTATAGGTATGAATTGAAATTTCATCTCGTAGCAAAATCATTTTCCCCAACCAAACACTACATGGAGTATATATCATATCCCAATGGGGGAGCACACTCACACCTTTTGTTTGTTTGACGCAATTGGAAAGAAATTCAGTGTCTTTTGAGAAATCAAATGCTGCTTTCCAATCAGCATCCCTACACACATCCCAAACACATTTCTAAGAGATAGCTACAAAAAATTAATTTCGTTTGACAACAATTTTGATATTAAGGACGAGCCCCTTTTGACCCGATTGAACGGTCAATGAGAGGAGGTAAATTAGACTTTGATTGCAGATTGGTATTAAAGACGGAGAAGTTGCCAGGAATCGAACCCAGGTCTTACTCTTTTGACACTCCTTGCCTTGCCAACTGCGCAACACTCACCGGCTTGATATAATTTTCTTACACATACTAAAGACATTTGGTATTGCATCTTCCATATTTGCAAATATTTTTTAGAATGGTGGTATCAAAGTTGGTGTCAAACTTGAGATACTCCAAACACGAATTGAAGTTTGTGAAATTTGTGTTTAATGAACTTACCTCAAGTGTTAAGTTTGTTTAAGTTTAGCTAACAACTATGGAGTAGTAAATATACAAATAAACATGTTCTTATCATAAACATGTAAATTAGTCATTCTCTTTTTTACTCTTTCCTTTTCGATTTTGTCAAGGAACCAACTCAACCAAAAGCTCAAGCTTATGATTGTGGTCCAGGAAGACTTAATTATATTCTAACACGCCCCCTCACGTGCAGGCGTAGTCTTTTCCAAGCTTTGCACGTGAAACTTTAATTTTCTTAAAACTGGGTGGCGCTGAGTTTCGAACTCGTGACCTCTTAGTCAACAAGGCTCCGATACCATGTCAAGAAACCAACTCAACCAAAAGCTCAAGCTTATGGTTGTGGTCCAGGAAGACTTATTTATATTCTAACAGATTTTTTCCTATTTCACTTTATTTCTATCTTCTGATCGATTTTTCAATCATTCAAAGACTTGCTATTTTCTATTCATTTTATCTTTTCATCATTTTTTTCCTTTTATAATGGCTCCTTTCATCTCAAAATAACTCGATCAATTTTCTTTTCATCTATTCCAATTAATGTATTCTTCTATTTGGATAAGAATATACAGGCTAAAATATTCTTTCTTTTTTTCTTTTCAAAATAAATTCTAACTACTCTGTATTTTCCTTTGATCATTTTTCTACATATTTCCAACATCTAATCAATAATTTTTTTTTAAAGAAATGTAAATTATCTTTTTTTTTTCAAGTTAAATTTTATCAATACATCAATTACATCAAAATAAATTACGTAATGTATATATACATAAATAGACTTACACATTGTTGACGCAATAACGCATTTGTTTGGCGACGCTGTCATCAAACAGAGAATTGAAATTCTTAAATTTGTTATAGACGGCCTGTGCAAAGAGCTGGACGGCGGCGGGATTACCGGTGTCGGGGCCGCCGTGGGCCACCGGCGCCGCCGGAGAAATTAAAAGGAATATCAAAACCGAGATAAAGCTCCGGGACGATTGGATATCATGATCTCTTAAGCTTCCTTCTTTTGGCGTATGCATTTTTTCATAATATGGAGCCAAAAAACAATTGGGGAATTAAACCTTTTGTGCAAATTGGGTAAAGATTGATTGTGGTTTGTAGAATGGAAGAAAATATGGTTTGTTTGATTTGGGAAAGAGATGGGTTTGAAGATCGATGAACAACTTGTGCTTGATGAAGGAAAGACATGGCGGGGAGAGAAAAATGGAGTGAAAAGGGACTGAAATATTTATATTGCTCTACTCCATTTTAAAAAAAAAAATACTTTTTGAAAGAAATTTTTTACTAGGATATCATTTATTGCCAGAAGAAAAAAAGAAGGTACGTGGTCATGATTTTATAAACATTGGTATATAAATATCATGGATGAAATAAGCTCTTTGAAAAAAATAAAAAAAAAAGTTTATGTTAACACATAAAAAATGTAAGAAGATTCATATTTTACATGTGTAATTTAGGATCATGGAATAGCAACTAAGAAAATAAAAATACAATTAGAGACGGAAGTTGGCCTTATATAACAACAACTTCAATGCCCGTAGTGATGGAAAATAATACGTGTCTCGGTCCACATTTCCCAATTATCTACGAAGAACAATCAAGCCGGACTCGTTTAATAAAATGGATGAATAAGAGAATATTTCCCTGTAGATGATCTTACTATTTCTATAAAGACAATGATTACTCCACCAAGACAGGGGGCCTCTCTCAGCATAACTCCCCTGCATGCCCACTACTCTCTCTCTCTCTCGATTTGTTACATATTTTCTTCTTCAAAGAAGCTTCAAGCTTCTACTAATGACTTCTAAGCCTAAACTATGTACCGTGTAAAAATCCCTCGTTGGCAAAGTTCTGTGGTTTTCTCCCGATTGGGTTTCCACGTTAAAATTCTTGTTCTTATATTTTGATGTATTTTGTTAGACTCGTTTATCGTTCTTGCCCGACTAAGAATGATATTCCGGTCGAAATAATTTACACCATCACGTAATATATTTTAACATTAGTAACTCTATTACAAGTGTAATCACTCTTTGTTCCAAGAAGATTGATCTAGGGATTTTCAATTTGAAAGAATTGCCTTGATGTCATTACACCATAAATTCTTTGTCACAACTTCAGTGTTTAACACTAACAGTTTGCAAATTACCGAGTATTCAATGACAAAATTTTAACTTGATTATTTTTTAAGTCAATTTATATGTCCAAATAGTTTTGGTGTTCTCTGTGGTTTAGAAAAAAATTGTATCAATATCCTTTCTGTTTTTAAAACTTATTTATATATAAAATCTACATGGTTTCAAAACGTTGCATCCACACTCTCAACAATCATTTCCCGATCATTTTCTAGCAAAGAGGGAGCATTAGTGCCTTTTTTAAACCATAAGGGGTACACGTGCGCATTTCTTATTTTTCGTTTATTACTTTTTTTTTTACTTTTTTTTGTATCTATTTGTTTACCTTTCTTAAAAAAGTTTTTTTAGATTTCTTTTAAAAAATTTTATAATCTTTTTAAAAATTCAAAGTTCTTTGTGTTTGAAATAAAAAAAAAGATATACGTCATCTGTCCCAAATTAAACATTCTAACTTTTTATTTTCTATAATAATGTTTTTGGTAAGTTCAAAAAGAAAATAAAAAAATAAAAATATGGAAAAACGAAACGAAAAAAATTTAAACATCTATAAAAAGAGTCGTATACAAAAAGTAATTTTCAAAACACATAAGAAGTCATTAGAATTGAAATGTTCAGAAGGGATATTCATTTTTTTGTTTTTTATTTTATTTTATTCCTCATTTTTTGAAGTTCTCAAAACAAGTTTTTTATTTTCTATTTTAGAAAATAAAAAATAAAAAATATTGATTTAAGAGGTACATATGTAGTACAGAGTATGTTGGTCATGTGTGCAGCAATTGTCCCGTGGCGGAGGCTATGTGGGCCAAGTTACAATCGAATGTCGTGGGCGCTTGTGTGTTGAATGCATATAAGGCTAGGGTATGCGGCTCTTCTAACACCAATTGGTTTTAGAAGAGTTGGTAGCGCCTGAGGTCCTACAAGTGGTATCGGAGCCAAGGTCACGAGTTCGATTCCCAGCGGGAGCAATTGCTGAGGGGGAGATTGTTGGTCATGTGTGCAGCAATTGTCCCGTGGCGGAGGCTATGTGGGCCAAGTCACAATCGAATGTCGTGGGCGCTTGTGTGTTGAATGCACTATACAGAGTATAGGTCAACTTTGAGACAAAAAAAATTTTAAATTATAAGAACATTATAAAAAACAATTTTGATGAGAAATTTTAAATATTTTGATTAATACAAGAAACAAAAAAGGGAAAAAACAAAAAATAAATGGAAAATTGGAAATGAATGCCAGTGTCACCTATGGTCTGGAAGATAGGCACCAATGCCCCTTCTTCATCGAAAAAATGACCAAAAAAATGATTAAAGGAGATATGAGTGCAATATTTTGAAACGACAAAGACTTTAGAAAAAGCTTTTGAAAACAATGAGGTATTAATACCTATTTTCTAAACCACATTGACTACTAGTGCTATTTGGCCTAATTTATACCATTAAAAAAATTAGGTTTATTGCACATACACCCCCTATGATGTGCTTAACTAACACATATGTCTTCTCCTTTCAAAACTATCCTCCCCCTATCAAAACAATACTCTTTTCCTCCTTCGTTCTCAAATGAATTAATCGATTACAATACAGTGTCTCGATATATTTTTGTATTTTTTATCAATCATTTAATAAAATATAAGATTTTTGTCTCCTCTTATTTTGTAAAATTAATTTTGATGTAGTCTTATAATATGATCATTTATTCATTTTAATACGTGTTAGTTATGCAAATTATAAGAGGTGTATATGCAATAAACCCTTAAAAAATTATTCAAAACACTAATAATAATTGAAAACCTCGTTCTCAAATAATATCTTTTATTAGTTCAACAACACTGTCATTTACTCCATTATTAGAGTTTGTTCTTTAGAACTGAAAAAAAGAGCTGGATGTTGGAAGAAACTGGAAGGAACTGGAAAAAATTGGAAGAAACTGGAAGAACTGAAAGGAACTGGAAAGAACGGGAAGAAACTGGAAGGAACTGGAAGAAACGAAAAGGAACTGGAAAAATAAAAAAAAGTTTTACAAATTTTTTATGTGTGATTTTATATTATTCTCATTCTGATTCTTGTTGTTATAAATTATTATTATTATTATTGTTGTTGTTGTGGTTGTTGTTGTTGTTGGGTATCATCACGCTATCTTAATGTTTGCCTTTAAGATAAAAACATATTATTACTTTTCATATGTAAAAAGCTAGTTTAAAAAAATTAATTAGAATATAAAATTAGCATAAATATGAAAATGTTAAATATTTAAGAGTTATTATGGCTATGTTGCATTTATTTTAATTTATATATTTGTAATATATTTTATATATTAGAAGATTTTATTTTAAATATACGACATATCACATAATATAATCAAACCTATTTTTTATTTAATGATTGACAATTTATTTTCATTGTAACCCTACTTTTGGAATAAAGACAGAACTTTTTTTACATTCTTTTATGTTTTCCTCCTACATTAGTCATTTTTTTCTAAAGTGTTTTGACTTTCAATTTTTTATAAAAATTATAAAAATAAAAAACAAAACTAATTTTTGAAATAAATTAAAATGAGAAAGAATTGAGTAATAAAGACCAACACAATGGGTCTTTTTCTCAGCTCCTTTTTTGTTTCCCCATTCTTTTTGTATGTTGTTTTCGGTTTCCCTCTTTATTCTCGTTTTCTGATATATATATATATATATATATATATATATATATATATATATATATATATATATATATATATATATATATATATATATATATATATATATATATATATATATATATCAAAAAANTTTTTTTTATATATATATATATATATATATATATATAGAGAGAGAGAGAGAGAGAGAGAGAGAGAGAGGCTTAAATCCCTAATTCCCTCACGCCACAATCTGCAGGCTCCCCCCTCTTCCGCTGCCCTGCTTTGTCCATAATAGTTGAAATAATAATAACAGGGGCGGAGGAGAGGGGGGGCACGGTAGGGCACTTGCCCCCCGGCGATTTTCCGGCATAGTACTACCGGTAGAGTGCCGCCGATGTAAATCTCTGGTTGTGCCCCCCGACTTGCCGCTGCAAACCTGCAACTTCTTATTTTGGTTTGGTCTTTGACTCCTTTGAGCCTTTAAACTCTTGAGAATGGAGAACAGCTGGCTTCTATTTTTTATTAAAAAAAAAGTAATAAAACGACGTCGTTTTACTCCTTCCCTTTAAAAAATCGGATACGAAAACCAATCACCTTCTACATCTCATTCTCCTTCACATTCAATTTCGGCGTGACTGCTTTTACCCTTCTCAAATCACTGAAATCGGCAAATTTGTACTCACTTCTTCTGCAAATCTTTGACCGGAGTGGACTCCTCCTCCCATGCAAATCACCTATGTATGAATTTTTTTATAATTGAAGAATTTTTCGTCACTTTGGATTTTGGAATTTGCTGTATGTTTGAATATGTGATGATTCTTTTATGGATTTTTTGGCTTTTTTGCCACTATGGGTCTTTGAAAAAAATACTCCATACTGTTTGCTACTCGTAATTGCTAGGATAGTAGGATTTCTTACAATTTTAATTATCTTATTAAGTTTAATATTTAAAATTAATGTATAATTGTTGGTTTTTTAAATAATTGATTGATTATTTTAATTTTTGAATATTTATTTGTTGATTTATTTAATTCGTTATTTTATTTCAGAATTAAGAACATTAAAACTTAAAAGGTATGATAGTTTAAGCTTTGCTTATTAAAACTTGTTAGTATTATGCGATATTTTTTTATTTTGGAATGAATTTTGCCCCCCGGGAAGTCACTTCTGGCTCCGCCACTGAATAATAATAATAATAATAATAATATATTTTTAGAGTGATTTGTCAGAAAGTAGAAAGAATTTGAAGAAAATAAATATAGTTGGAAGAAACTGGAAACTAGAAAGAACTGGAAGAAATTGGAAGAAACTGGAAGGAACTGAAAAAACTAGAAGGACTGGAAGTTAAGAGTTCAAGCTGTAAAGAACATGCTCTTAATATTATTATATTTTAGCCTTAGGTTTTTATGCACAAAGTGTTTTACTTTTTCTAATTAATATTTTGATGAAAGTTTTGAGATAAAGTATATTTTACGATATAATTAACATAAATTAGTATCATCATAATGATTAAATATAGGAGGGATCATCTTATACCATTAATTTGATATAACTGTAACACC